ATGGCCGTTTTAATCGGTTTATAAACACACTGATAGTTGATGACTTAGAAACCAATGTTATCTCATATTTTTTTTACAAAATTCGAAAGCGATCGTGATCGTACCCCTGAGAACGTAATTGAACTCTACACCTTTACCATATCGCCGCTTACGACTTTGCCGAGAAGCTCGCAAATTTGCATATATTATCGTTCTAGTGGAAATGGCTTGCCAAATGAATTTAGATTCTGGAGAGTCGTTTTCATTGGCCCCGTTATTTGCATCATTACTTGGCAGAAAAAGTTTGTCGGGGAGATAAAAACAAGGAACGATAGTGCCGTATCGGAGCACAATTCATATATTTGGTTCAATGATAATAACTTTTAATTTGAAAAAGTTTTAATGGTCAAAAAAAGCATAAACTGCATGATAAATTAAATTTATCATTATTATTTTTATTTACGAACAAACTCGTAAAATACGGACGAAAATCGGAAATAACGTTAATACTGTCGGCCACCCAGACAAGTCGTAAATGGCGAGTGATGCTGTTAGTATTAAACGTTTAGGTACACAATCGTTGGTACATAAAATTTTGATGTGACGTCCTAAACGAGCCAACAGATCTCGGTGACGGTAAGCCTGCCAGTATTTTATGACTTCTAAGTCGCATTTTATGAACATTCGAATGTCTTGTACTTGCCAAGAATATGATATTAACTTGGTGCGTACAATTGCTACCGCGCGTAGATAACAAGTTATTGCCTTGTTTTCTTACTAGGAAAAATAACATTGTGGTGTCAACAAACGCGAAAATCAAAAAAATTATACAAAACATCAAAGTCAATAGTGTCTTCATAAAGTACAGTACTCCGTCTGTCATAATTTACACGGTTAAAATCGATAAATAGCTTTATTATTTCGTCACGATTTTTTATGTGTATTCGATATTTATCGAATATTATGTTTTACGTCTCTGAATATATTTTACAACGGAAGCTATTGCGGTGAATCAAATATATTCATACAAATCAGTTACGAAACGTGAGGTGCATTTGAACATGCACAGCACAGAATTTAACTGTTGAAATCGAGAACATTTTCATATTCGTCAAAACTAAATAAGGGAATCAATATAATTATAATTGTAGTTTATCGATATTTTTATTGAAATACAATTACACGAATAATAGTCTTGTAAATTTCACTGTAATAACTTCTTAGTTTCGCATCAGAGTTAAAATCAATCAATATAAATTACCGCGGCGAACAACCGTGGGCTTTGAATCTTCACTTTCAATTTGACTAAATCTAATTTGACAACAGAGGGAACAACGAGCAACCCATTCACGGTGATAACAATACTGAAATTTTACAATTAAAAATATGTAATACTGACCAAGGCCGTCGGTGAAAATCAATTTTTGTTTCGAAAATGCCAAAAGAACACAATCGGTTCGTTACTTTATTGTCACCGAAATAATAATGGGTATTAATACGCGCATATCGATAATAACAACAAATAATATTGTATTTTATATATTGTATTTGACACATATGTTTCAAATGATATCACCTTGGATCCCCTCTGTCTCGGTGGCTTATAACGTGTCATGAAGTAGTGCTTGTAGGCATTACAGTCACGATACAAATGTTACTACTTCTAATACGACTACGATATTATTGCAGCTGCACACAGATACAGACTGTCATGGGCATATAATAACTTGACCGTGCAGATTATATTCTTGAGCGTGTGCGACGATAACACATTCTAAATAATGACAATACGTTAATCAGCACACACACACACACACACTTATGTCGTAACTGTAAAATATAAGAATCGGTCCATTATGTTGTGTGTTCAACATGTATTTATATAAAACAGTGAATTTGATACTGTCGATATATTTTTTAGGAATTATGCGATTCGTCACGGGTGTCTGTAATTTCAACGTCGTTGTCATCGACACGCGATGTAGAATAGTAATAATACACTATAGTGTCTGTACGCTGCAGTAATTTATCGTCACGGCTACTAAAATTAAAGATTCAAATGTTACATTGGTGGTTAGTATTTCGGTGAATTATAATATAAAGTTTAATTAAAAGATACATACAAACGAGAATGTTTTGTGGACTAATTAAAAAAAATTTAAGTCTACAAAATGTAAAAATGACACAGTAATCTGTTGTTTTTAAGAAGAAGAGATTGTCGTTTTTGTAGTGTGCTGTTATTTTGCATATGTCTGCGTTTTCCCGAGGCACCGCTCTAATTATAATTTTAAAAATAATATTTTTCATACTATTCTCATTGTATAGAAAAAAATTTAGCCAATTTTTGGGTCAATCCGATAGTATTACCACTTGGTGTGATGAGTTCGATTTAGAGACCATAAAAATAAAAAACGTAATGAAGCCATAAAAAATAAAATATTAAAAACCAATATAAATGACAAAAAATCATGAAGCCATAGAAATATATAAAAATTAAGAAGCAATAGAAATATATAAAAATTAAGAAGCAATAGAAATATATAAAAGCTATAAATTCTAATATTAAATGTTAATAAGAAGATAAGACAAGTTATAAATTTATTTTAATTTTAACGGGAACTCACACTCCATCAATTTTTATACTAATAATAAAAGCCATAAGGGAACACGCCAGAAAAATTAATGTAATAAATTTAAAACATCATATTTCGTAACTATACTGAAATTCCTATAACTTTTCTTTAAACGCGGACTCATAAAATAACTACCCTAAGCTGAGTAGAGATTAATTAATTTTGTTTTGACGCTCAACATGTATGGAATACAATAAAGTTTAACCTTCGTCATTACAGAGTAATTAGTAACAATTGTTCAAGGCAAAATAAATATAATCGATTAGGCATTTTAGAAGTGTAGGAAAACTTATACAAAGTTCCAAATTCAATTTGAACAAAACGTTAAAAGCGTTTCAAGATAAAAATATAATTATGCATTTTTATATAAAGAAATGTTTTTTTTTTATTTTTAATTAAAAAAACAATGCATGTCTGATAATATTCAGTCAACTGGAAAAAGTAGTTTACATAATTTTAATATGAATATTTTACAGAAAACTCTCGAGAGAAAAACTAAATAAATAAAAGTTTGTGCTTAAAAAAATGTATTCAAACGACAACTGTGCGTTCTATCCATTCTTTTACTTAATACCAAAAGCTGTATAAGCTGTGGTTCACCGAGTGTACTGACGAGTGTGAAGTCATACTACTTGAAAAGTTTCCCTGAGTGTAAACTTGGATTTCAGAAAAACAACACGTGCTTATGAATAGTGTACTGTTTTTGTAATTTGTGCACCTGTTATTGGCACTTTGACACTTTAATGATTTATATTTTTAATGTTTTTTGAACTAGTCAAATTACTAATCCATAACTAGTTGTAATTATAATAGTTTTTTACGGTATTAAATCGATATTTTAGTTTCGATACGAAGCGAGAAAACATTCATCATAAACAATCGTAGTTTTTACTATGATGGTTTTTTTTACTGTCACCTCGTGTACACAGGTTATTCTGGATTAATATTGTTCAATTATACACCAAATATTAACCAAATTGGCTCTGTAGAAGCTCTCAAAAGTGTAATAAAATTACTATTTTTTATTTTTTGCAGAAATATCTCATTTTGAAATCGCGTACAATTAAATTATTCTTTCTGAATAACAAATCACTATAATTTTTTTTTAATAAATTTATTCGTAAAAATCTTTAAGTAGAAATATTACATATAATTAACTTCTTTTAAATAAACCTTTTTGAAAATCTAACTATAATCCTAAGTAAGGAAGCGTTTTAAAATAGCCATTCAACACAATCATTATTTTTTTTTCAATTTAATTTTTGACAATGATCTGGAAATGTCCCCTAAAATATATTTTTAAGATAAATTAAAGATAATTTAATGTACTTTATAATAAAAAAGAAATTACTCCAGCCTAAATTTTTATCATATCAAGTAAGTTAGTTGACTAATATTAATTTTTTCAAACATTTTTTAGGTAATAATTATAGAAACCGAATGTTTTATATATATATAACACAATTAATTGTTATATGTATATTTAAGTTTTTTAAATCTAAATAAAAATTTAATTAAACCATATTAAATTTCAAAACTGATATTTTTTTCGGTTTTTAAAGTCAAATTTTAAGTAACAATGAATATTTCAAAGGCAATACCTATTAATACCTTTGTAAAAAATTTTTTTAACGCCTATTAAAAAATATTGGATATAGATGAAATAATTTACTAAATATGAGTAAACTTGACAAAAACCGAATTTATTTCGGTTTATAGTTCTGACCTCAATAATAATCTATCTGCATTGTTAACATTTTTTTTCAGAATAATTTGGACAATTTTATATTTCTTATTAGGTAAGAATTTACCTTTCATTTATCATTGGAACATTCAGCAAAATTCACTACGATTAACACTCAACATTTCTTTTGGCTGGATAAATGATTTTTCTTTAACTCCATTTGATACTTTTTTGAGTATTTATACCGTTTAAGAGGTATGAAATTTATTTTGTTCTCACGCTAGTTCTAATACTAGTATTAATCACAAACAGCGCGTTAGAGTAATTAGGTTTTTTTTTAAGAGAATAGTTAATTAATTTCAATATTTTAATCCGTTAATGTTAATTACTCCGCATTAGTGAATTCTATACCTAAAACACAGCAATTTGAACACTATGTACCTTACCAAAAATTAAAATCCAACATGTAAATTGATTCCTTACATCACATATTGAAAAATAAAGAATAAAATATAATTTTATTTCCTATAGTGTTGTACATTTAAAAAAAACGTAAATCATATATATTTTTTTTAATCAATACGATAGAGTTTTTTTGTTTTTATTTATTTATTTATTTGTACAATTTATACATCATAGAATTTATAAAGTACAACATAATACAATATCTTAATAAGCAATATTTTATGGCAGATATCGTTGGAAAATTAAATGAAGTTGTTAAAAAAGAGAATAGGACACGTTTAAATCGAGAACATTGAATCTCTCAAGAATGATTCTATTTATTTTTAATATTATTGCATACTTTGGATAATTTATGGTGAAACATGTATCAATTTGTGATTGTTTAAATGCCTTTGTTCCTATAATTTAAGTCATTCGACAAAGATAAATTTATAAAAAATATGATTAAATAAAATGTAATTTTTTAATTACTTGTTTATTTTAGTAAATAAAACAATTAAAACTTTAAATCGTTCGAAACAAAAAATATTTTTAGTCCATATTCCGTATTAATTTATCCCACTGAAATTGCATGGACGTTGAGAGTTAAGATATGTTTTCATATTTTGTAGGATTCGTTCAACTGTAACGGACACCAAGTATATATGAACGAGATCCGTCGTGAGGGGGTGCGAAATGGGCCCCTGCAGGAAGCCTCGTGCTTTGTTGTAACACCCATCATATCCAGTAAATGACTAAAAAATCGATTTTTCTAGCGCCCGTACTGGTGTGAACGTATGCAGAAAAATATTTGTCGAAATTGAACGTTTTCAATGGTCCTTTCCAACTAGTACACACAACATGAATTTTGTCCAGGTAAAAATACTAATAATTTGTAATCGATCCGCGAGGAGGGAAATGCACTTACATCACAGACCAATTATTATAGTTACTATACAATTGTGATTGTTATTTATCGTCATTACATGTATTGATTGGTACAAGGGCAGCAAAGACCGTGTGGCTTGTAGTAGCGATTGCGGATAGAATTGTGCCGTCAATGTCACCGTAACACACGGTAAGGTACAAGGACATCAAACGTATTTGACATCTGGTTAACTGTACGGCAGACGTGTTACGCGGCTAAAAGAACTCACGTTGCTCGAACGACCGATTTCCTTAAAACTTATTAATTGATTTTATTGTACACTGCAGTGACAAAACCGCGATTCCCATAGGAGCGACCTCTCTAGACAGTCATTGTATTTTTTTTAATTGTAAACTATTTATTTATTGACAAGTTTCTATAGATTGTAAATTATAATAAAAACAAGCATATACTTGGCTCTCATACTATTAGGAAATATGGGCTTACGTAGAAAGATACCTTATAGTTCTTACCTTGGCTGGGAATGTTCAAATCTGATAAAAATCTCGATCTAATTTCATACTTTGTAATCTTTTAAATTAAAAAATGATTGCGAACTAGAAACATAAAAAAAGTTTGAAACGTGCAATATAAAATTTTGTATTCGGCTTACTGTTTTTTTAATAAATTTATTACTTACGTAGGTATTCCTAGAGCCCTTCAAAAAAGATAAATAAATGTAAATTATGAGCCTTATTAATAACAGAGTCTTAACACGATATCTTTTGGCAAAAAAAAAAAATATTAAGATATGTCGTATTTTCGAAGAAAAAAAAAATACTCGTTAAAATTTCGAGTTTTAATTATTTTCTAACACTTAAATGATACCTAAACATTAAACAAAAACATATTATTACACACCAAAATGATAACAATATAATTTAATATGAAACAATAATAACAATATTCAATTGACTAACAAAGACGAATATTTAAAAAATTCAAATATCGAAATAAAAACCATACTGAAATAGTGGTTTTGATTAAGGTTATAGTTTTTACGTTTTTTTTTTTTTTGGTTTCGGTTTTGTAATTTTCAAAGGGTTTGGTTTCAAACCAGGTTTTTTATGTTTCGGTTCCTAACCACATGCGAAAATAGTTAAGTTTCAAATATTTCAACTAATACATTTTTTCAATCATTCAAACTGTACATAATTAAACAGCGCTATTTAAATCGGAATATGATTAAAACATCGTATTTCATATGGTAATTACCTTATTAAATTTTTATATTAAAAAAAATTAAGTTTCCAGAAACAATATAGATTTTTTCTTAGTGATTTAAAACGTTGGGTGTAATGATATCCGAGTTAAATCGTTTTAGAATAGCCACAAATACATTTAACATAAACATTTCTAGTATTCATATCCTTTGGAAAATTTATCACTAAATACATAATAATATAACTTGGCATTAACTTTATAAAAAACAATTTGCCATATAGATTTCAAACGAACATTCATAATTTTTTTTTGCCACTTCATATACTCGTGACCGATTTTAATGATGAGCATTACTTCCAATACGAAATAATCGTTCTCTGCGAATGTGCAATGCAGTAAATACAACACACTGAGTGTAATGTGTTTGTTTAGGTGTACGGACTTATAGTTTTAAGTGTTTTTTGTAATTTAAAGTGATCAAGCATAACGAATTGGTTTCACACATAAATAAACAGTAGAACTCCTTAGTAATTGAAACTTAGAAGGTATGTGTTAACTAGACACTTCTCTTAGGCTAAAAATAGCTTGTTAATTATTGTAGCTAAAAATACCAGAGAAGTACTTACAATTTAATTAATTTCCATTCAATGACAATTCCTAGTTGAAATCGTACACAGCTTAGTTAATGAGCAAATGGCGTATTTTATATTTAAAACATATTCAAATGGATAGGTAGAAAAGTAAAATATTTGCAAAATATTATTTTCCATTTTTTTCTTTGTCATAATAAAAAATAATAAGAATACGTTATATTCTTATAATTCGAATCACTCGATACTAAACTAATATGCTATATAATAAAAAAAAAATAAAAATTGCATAAAATAAGAGAGACTTCGTAATAATAGTCATAAATAATAATTTTTTAACTTGTTAACGATTCGTACAGGATAAGTAAGTGATTACAAACGATGATTATATGGACGGGTTGATACTGTGGCAATTTTGCTAACACATTAAAATTGTCCATTAGTAATAATGTATCTAATGCGTTAAATTGCAGCGATTTACATAAAAATGTTGTCGGGCAAACAATTTTTTTTTTTTGTGTTTATAAAAGTCATTCTACCGTGTACTTGATGGATGTATTTATTGTGTTTTTATTTACATCAATACAACTAGTGAATTTGCATTTTTTCATCGAATGAATCTAATTATCAATGAAACACGCAGATTACACTAATTTACTGACCTGAAAAACATGAATTTGTTTTCACAATCATATAACATAATGAAAAAATAAAGTTTCAACGCAAGTTACTGTATTGTATGTGTTGCCGTTCGGAACACAGGTGTTTTATACCATTTTATTTCTTATGGAGAGCTATCATTTCAAATTTAAATTTATAATTACACGTCAAGCATATAAGGCAAATAGAAAAGGTACTAATTATACTTTATTAATAAATTCAACAATAGTATAATTTTTCTGACTCGGTATTTTTGCATGGTAATTTGCAAATATGAGTCACGTCAAATTAAACAAAAAATTATCATTGTTTGCTTAAGGGAAATTTAAATTTCCCTCCTACAAGGAATTTAACACGGAGAATGCGAATGTTAATTAAATAAACAAGAATATTTCACTCAGAAAATTCGATGAACTAATATAAAAAAAATGTATTTTTAATTAAATAATTCCGTTTGCATTATGTATTATCCGAATAATTATATTATCTTGTTTAATATATAATTCGTGATTATTTATAAAATCAGGAGAGTCTGTTGGGGTGTTTGCTACCAACAGGATGAATAACAAAAAGTGTTTACAATAGTTAATGGTCGTCGAATGAACTCAACGAAAACACGCGCCTTTTAGTAAGAAACGTGTAGAACAGCGTTGAATTTTCATTCTTAAACGTGTAACGTTTTTTATTTACATAAATGGATAATTTAGTGTGTAACGTACTGAACACACATTAGTCAACACAGGATGTTTTTCTGGGAGCAGGACATCCGTTCTTTGGAAGATTTTTAAAAGGGTAACTGATACTAATTTGTCACTGTGCAGTGGAATAGAACATTAACTTGTTTCGAGTATGAAATCCAAAACGAAAAATTGCACTTAAAAAAAAAAAACGCGTTGTCGTAATAAACTTTGTAAGGTATCTTGCTGTACACGCATGGCTGAGAAAGGGAAATAAATAAAAAAAACCAATCGAAGTACGTTTTATGAATAATTCAACAAGTCGTAAACGCCGTCAAAGATGGAACAGCTGTTTTGACATTATGAAACAACATTGATGGCGTACCGGAATAATTTTTATGAATCTCATCGGCGTTATTATTGTTTTTTTTTTTATCTGTTTAATGTTATTTGACTCTTATGGTTTTTAAAAAAAAGAAAGAAAAATTATTTTCGGAAACAATTTATTGACTTATGAGAGTCTTCAATGTCACTGTTGTTATACCAACAACATTGACCGTATTAAAACGACAAAATATAGATAATATTGTCATTCGCAGGATTAAAATTTAAAAGAAAAACATAAAACTCGATGAAAATTTTCTATCGAATAAAACGCGATATTTTAAATAAATAAATAGAAACAAATGACCGTTCTTTCAATGATTTAAAACAATGGTAATCCGCAAATGACATGAACATAAAAATCAAAGTCGTCGAGTTAAACGTTATTTTATCTTCTACGAGGATAACGATGCTCCGACTGATGAGACGGTCCTGTTACGAGGGTGTTGGAACGTTCCACACAGACGTGATGACCTATGAATGTCAACGTATTCTGCCGCTTGGTTGTGTGAACGTACCCGAGACCGTTTATCTCGGAGACGGATGATTGATTAGTGTAGTCACCGTGCGGCGGTGGTATACACGCCGTGTTATTAATCACCTGTGTCGTGGAAGACGTCTCGCGCGGAGTAGGGTCGAACCTTAATACTTTTTCCCCACGTCCTCGAACGTTTCGCCCCATTCACCAAGACGGGTATTTTACGGTCAGGGTTGCTATCCGGGCACGCCGACCAGACTCGTTCACACACCGTGGATAATAGCCGTGTACGTCCATGGACACAAATCGTAAGCGTACAATGCATTGTACACACATGTACCCAGACGGAGACGGTTAGGTGCATAGCCGCACAAACTGCCCATCGGGCTGCCGGTGGGTAATTTTCGTGTTGGCCGCCTCCGCGGTCGGACCGTCCGTGCGCTGAGGACACGCACAAGGTCGGGGTTCCTTCACACGAAATTCCCAACGCACAACGTATCATTATATTACTTTACGGGAATGTGCCCAACGTGGACAACCGTTAATTACAATACGTTTGCACAAAACGTCTGATGATCGGTCCCATCTTCTTGGCCGCACCTTATGAATAACCTAGTGCTCATACACACACACACACACTTTGCAGCGTACTGAACGCGTGTCTATGTAAATAGTACTTTTTCAGCTCTGCCGTTTACAGTAATGATCGTAGCTGTCCTGGACGGTTTACGCGTCAGTGTTCTCCTGCGCTGAACTTGTTTTTTGTACTCGAAAAGTGCAATCGTTTCTGATACTTGAAAAGTAATTCTCGCGTTACCTTATAATTTTTATAATTAAACAGCTATTTATATAATGAACAATTCATTAGAATCGAATTAACCACCAGGTGGATTGACACCGCTCGAGTACTATAATTTCGTTGGCCGGTTGACCAACCCAACCGATAAATAGCATTTAATTTTAAATAAAAAAATTTACACAGTTGTCAAGTGCCTGAACCCGAAAAACACAAGACCACGGGTTCAATTATCAAATACTATAATTAATTATAAATATTTAAATAGTAATAAAAATTAACCATATTATAGTACACTATTTAATAATATCGTGGCGATACATGGGAATATATTATTTATTTTATTACCTCTTTTTATCTAAATAAACATTATAATATAGAAATATTGCTAACATTTCAGAACAATAATAATGGTAAATTACGACTAAAAATATCTATAGTTAATAACAATCGACGTATATCATTATAAATTACCAATAGAGTTATTCATTTTACGATACTTTTAATTCGTTCAAACATTTACGAAATGTAATTAATGGGTTGAACGGATATACGGTCTATTTACTGTTAATTGGGAATCACTAGAAACATCTCAAAAAATAAGTAAAAAAAAAAAACCATTGACCGTTTACGATTCCGGTGTAGCTTTGCTCCAATGAAATGATAATTTAAAAAATTATCGTGAAGCCAAATAGGTAAGTCATGCGTACAAAAACAATAAACGAAAATAATTGAAGGCCACTCTAAATCATAAAACTGAGTCTCAGTTTTCGACTATCATTTGTCTTATAAGAACTTTAGGATAATTTAATTTACGGCCTATAAGTGTACTCGAATAAAAACAATATTATCTGTTATTTGAACAAGATAAATTTACAAATGGTCATCACATGCGGGTTTATAATAAGAATTGATCACTCGCGGCTAATGTTATATAAAATAAAAAAAACATTAGTTTAAATCTATTTTTCTGGCAAAGATTGTTGGAAATTTGCGATTAATTATGTTGAGCTATCTTAAATTTATAATCTCTTCGTGTTTGAATAGGCGCACAGTATTTTAGGTCAAAAGTATTTTCAATTAATGTGAAAAGTCTTGTAAACTCGTCAATCTAAAACTATATTAGTTTATCTTTCACGGAAGTGATAAAAATGTAACCCCTTCTTTAAAAATATAAATCCCTAAATCCCGAGAATAAATCTTAAGCAAGTTAATATTACATCGCACGAATGTTTCTACTATAAATCCGGATAACTTTTTATCACTTTTAAATAATAATTTTAACGTGTTTTCATTTCAACGCAAATTCATTTTAATTGAAGCCTACGAGATAATTATTTTAAGTGAAATCATTCGTTTCAATGAACTTTATTTATATTCGTCAAACACATTTTACCTTTATTTAAACATTTTTAAATCTGCCAGACCATAATTTCATACTCCTTGCAAAATTAAAAAAGATTCTTCGTAAAAAAAAGCGAAATTACTTAATTTACGTTATAAATATTTACCATAATGTTATTATACAATTATCAATTAGATTTTTTTTTAATAATCAAAGACGTGCATACAATAACTAGACACGTTTAGTGTTTTTATTTTTTGAAAATTCAGCACCGTCAAACTCAGGGGCGATGGTTAAACTTGGGGCAGTTAAATATTTTGTGTTCCTTAACAATTTTCCTAATGCTGTAGACTGATACAACTAAAACGATAATAGATATTTAACTGCACCGAGTTGACTGTATTATTGCGTTGTAGGAATAGCTTTATAAATATGTACACAGCTGTAATAGTATCATTTAATATTTTTTTAATCAGTCTAGAATTATATTATATCATTGACAAACATTATTTCGGTAAATCATTAATTCAATGTAAAATAACTGCTCTTGCAGCTAGTTATTTCTAGAAATTGTTACATTAGCTCTCAACGGAAGAATTATCTGTTATCGACAAAGTTTAATAATCGAGCAGCATTTATTAAATATAGTTTGTTTCCAATTCGTTTCTTTTCCGCTTGAACAATTCGAATGCATTGAA